GCTCAATGCACACGTTTCTGTCGTGGTAATGCCTTTTCAAGAATGATTTCTCTCTCATGACATAAAAAAGCATCGTAATTTAATACTTATTTACGTAAGCAAAGTTTGAAAGTATTTCAGACAGGATACAGTTTGGTTGATTATTTGGTGGGTTTCATTCTGTCCTTTATGGAATGTTGATTTTCCAAAAGGAAATGCTGCAAAAGTCCGTATTCAAGTTATGTATCAAAACCTAAAACAAGTTCTTTTGTTTGAAATCTTAACTTGGTAACATAATAGAATTTGTTTAAAGGCTTAGCTGATATACATATTTATGTTTGTAGTTAAAAAAGACAGCAAACAGTTAGAGAAAACAGGCTGCCTGATTGTAGCTATATTGACACATGGGGATGAGGACACTGTGTATATGACAGATAGATCTATTAAAATAAAAAATGTGATGTCCTTCTTCAATGCTGAAAACTGCCCAGAACTTATTTTGAAACCAAAAATCTTCATTTTCCAGGTGAGATAATTTAATCATCGCTTTGCAAGAAACTGAAACTCTTCATACATTGTATTTCGTATGAGCTGCAGAAGATTATTTTTTTGATATAATGGGTTTTTGATTTTAAGAATGAAAACGTCATATACATGTATACTTAAATTCAGCATCTTTTAACTTTAATTAATATTTATTTCTACTCAATTTAACAAGTTGCTACCAAGATGTTTGCAGGTCAGTCAATTTCATGGATATGAATAATGAGTACGACACTCGCAAAAGTATACAAAACGTGTACTGCCAAAACAAAACTGTAGACTATTTTCTGAAATTTTTATGTAATTGACAAATATATTAAAGCTTGTGCATTTCTAAGATATACGCGAAAATAGACACAGCTTGGTGTCCATCGTCTCATCATAACATATTAACAACAACACATATAACATTCAAACCGTTTTGATCTTTATCTAATACGTTTATAAACACGTCAGAATGTAAAAGTTTAAAGCTTTGATACATTTAAATACCAAAGGTATCCCGTAACCATAGTTGTCTGTTAAGTTTTGAAAAAGAATTTGTATTTCTAAATGTGAATACTTTAGACAGTAATATGTCTTCCATATAAACAAGTGATCGTCGTATATACGAAGGCGAGTGCTATACTGAAGTAGTAACTAGAGTGCTATACTGAAGTAGTAACTAGAGTGCTATACTGAAGTAGTAACTACTTACAAGCTGTAAGAACATAGCAGGAATTTTTCAAGACTAACGGTTGTATTGCTCTGTCAAGTGTTGTGTGTGTGTGTAAGTGTGTGCCACAAAGTGCGACTTTGGTTAGTTTTGTGTTCGTTAGTATTGACTTTTGGAAAACAAGTTATGTCTCTGATATCTTGGAGAATTTCATTTTTACATCTTAAATTTACAATTCTTCTATTAGAAACAACACAGTTCAGTAATATTAGAACCACCCAGACATTTTTTCTGCTTTGTTGATTTTTTTTAATTTATGACCGTATTTAAAAGGGCATGGTGGCATTTCAGTGATATTATACGACTGTCGTTCTCTCATTTAGAACAGAATCGGTCCGTAGAATTCCGGTTTACATGATTAACATTACAAAGCCGCATTTTTTTTAGAATTATGGTCCATATTATATACACCTGTTGTGGTTTATTGGTGCGGGATTTTCTCGTTGTGTTGAAGACCCATTGATGGTCTGTTTTCTGCTCTTTGGTCGGGTTGTTGTCTCTCTGACATATTCCCCATTTTCATTCTCAATTTTATTTACCACTACATGGTTATTCCTTAAAAAACAGAGCCCTTCAACATTAAGCTCATCATGATTTACATTTTATATTCAAGCAATTTATTTAAGGTCTTGTATATAGGTAAGTTGGTTCATTGTTCAAATCACTGTTTATTGAATGTCATTGTCTTACAGGCACCTAGTATATACTAGTTGGTGCTCTCGAAAATATTTAAGATAAATATTGTTTTCATCATGCAAGATCATGTGTTTATTTTTAGGTTTGCCAAACATCAATTAAATAAAACTAATCGGTATCAAATTTATTCACAGGAACCATTTTATTTGAAAGCTTACTAGTGAAAAAGCATATTCATTGTTTATCATCATTGTATTGTGTTATTTTGATTATAGGCATGTAGAGGAAAAGGAATAGGGCGTGGTGTCAACGTGTCAGTAATACGAGATAAACCAAGAGATCCAAACCAGGCAGATGGCATAGCTGAATATTATGATTATAACAAATCTTATGGAGTACCAATGCGTATACCTAATGAAGCAGATTTCCTAGCAGTGTACTCTACTTCCCTTGGTTAGTGTTATATAATAAATATGGCAGTTGCAGAGTTTATATTAGTACTGCTGAAGATAAATCATATAAAATTCTTTATGTGCTTGTCTCAAGTCAGAAGCCTGTAATTCAGTGGTTGTCATTAGTTCATAACTCTTGCGAAATAAAGCTTAATTTAGTGAATATACAAGTGTTTATAAGTACCTGGCTTTTAACTAGCTTTCAGTTACTGTTAGTATTCTTACATCGGTACTTCGTCTTTTGTTTTTATGTTGGATGTGCTTGTGCTCCATACCATACTGGTGAGATAACCATTTCCAACTGCATGATTTTTTAAAGTTTGGTTTTGAAATATCTTTTATAGTTTAAAATAAACTCAAACAAAGTGTTTACCCCGCCACATCCTTTATATTTCTGTCCAAATTAATAGTCTGTGGCATCTGACTGGGACAAACAAATAAAGCTATGGCTGGGTGAAACATAGTTGTAAGATATCGAACCACTCCCTATCCTCCAACCTGCATCATATCTGTAACAGCACAAAATAAGAGCAAACAGTTAAAATAAATCGAAAATGGTTGGACTTGTGAGATTGGCACGAGGCACAAATCATCTAAAATAAAGGCAACATACACAAAGTACCGATCTAACACAATTCACAAATACCGAAGCAAGTTCGAACCCAAATAGTACTACAAGTAGTAAATAAATCATGTTCTCACAGACTTAAGTATCAATCATTACACATCCAATATTTAGTGTATAGAAATCACAAATAATCTTGGAAAAGTATGACTTTGTTAAATGCAAAAATATAGGCTAATTGTTTCGAAAGAATAGTTTTTATAAAGTTTGGTTAAATTGTCAAATACTTTTGGTTTTGGACAATCTCTGAGAGGTGTGAACCTCCATCTGAATAAATTCACCTGACCGTGACATCTTTTCTTATACCGTAAACAAGTTATGATATGTCATAATAAATGTCATACTTTCCAATTATCATGATAAAAAAAGTTATTTGAGATCTGAGTTAAACATCGTGTAAATTACTATTGCCTCTTTTTTACCAAAAATTTGCATTTTTATTTTAAACATTGTCACCTTTGAAATTCCATCGATATTGTCAGGTCATAACTTGTAATAATTCGTCGTAGTTATTAACCAAGTTAATTCACAAGTACAGAATTATAAATGTTTTTAATTACAAACAGCAAAATGATCAGCAATATATGAGACATCTGTTTGCATTAAATCACATTTGGCTCTTGTCAAGTGTTTCATAAGACTTTTAAGTTGTCGGTGAGTTCTATTAAGAAGAAACGTTTTGCTTTGTTGAGTAAGGTATTTTTTAAGTTCGTCTAGTCTCAGATAGATGCCTCTCATTAAGCACCATTGCACATATCCTTGTTGTCATACAAAAAGGTGAGTTCCTTTATGTAAAAGATGAATAACACAATCAGAAATTTAAGTGTTTATGCGTTTCTGTCCTTCTGTAATAGGTATCGAAGATAATTTCAGAACCGTATTCTGGAATCGATATCTAAAACACTGATTTTGTATCTTTATCTTCTATCTGATCTATAAAATTCAAAAAATAACTAGAAATTGGTCAAAAGCCTTATTTGATGACTACTTTACGACTAAAATTATCATTTCCATTTTTTTTTCATTTCTATATGGGAACTTTCCAACATCAAATGCATATGAATATATAGAGGATAACTGTTTAACAAAGATAATGTGTGGTAAAGTTGAAGTAATCTTTTCGAAAGTTTTGTGGATCCAGTCATGAATTGGTTTTTTTAACTGTTATTAAATACATACGCAAAGATGGCGACACACATATTCATCTATTGAAACTTCAAACCTGTATCTCTTCGTTTATGACATCACTGAATGCGACTAATAATCGGACCATTACTTAAAATGAGTAACAATATAAAAATACGAAGATGTAGTATGAATGACAATGAAAAATCTTTCTACCACAGACCAAATGACGTAGCAGTTAGCAACTATAAGTTACCGTATGACCTTCAACAATAAGCAAAACCCATACCACATAGCAAGCTATAGATGAGAACATAGTTGCCACAAGGCAGGAACCGCTTATCCTTCTAAATCACCAGAGTTATCCCGGTCTTTAGCGGCGTTTGTGTTGCTCCTTCTGTAGTCTTCCTGTTGTGAGTTTAAATTGTTTTGTCAGCTCCTCACTTTTTTTTAACTAGTCTCTTTTTTTACTTATACTTTTTTACAGATAATAATTTTAATATATGAAATATGTTAATGATGAAATCAACCCATTAAAAAGACAAATTATTGTTATTGTGATATTTATATCATAGACATTCATTTAAAAGTTAATATATTTAATACAATTGTGAAGCACTTGCATTACTTTATCTTAATTTCCTGGATTAACAGAGTTTTGTTGTATTCTGAAGAAAAAAATTGTGAATAAATCAAATTTGACATTGAACCAAAAACATGGCCTTAAAAAAATTATTCATAGCTTAAATATGATAACTGAATTGAATATACTAGTAATAGATATATTAAATCAATACATAACCATGTTGCATTAATTTTTAAACTTTCTCTAAATAGAGAAAAGAAAAAACAAAAGAAACCAAACTAGGATTTATTGTCATTTACTGTTTTATAGTATATAAAAACACAACTTATTTTCAAACAGGTTATGGATCTTACAGAAGCACAGAAAAGGGGACTCCATTTGTAAACCACTTGACAGAGGAATTTCGTAACATGAAAGAAGGTGAAGATTTCTATAAAATCTTGACAAGAGTGAATAGAAAAGTTGGAATAGGATATCAACCAAACATTCCAAGGAGGGATGTTACTCAGATGCCTTGTTTTATTTCACATCTTACAAAAAAATTGGTTTTAAGGCAATAAATATTAGACAGTTAGACAGACAACTTATTGAAACTGTGAAATTGTTCTTGATAGAGTGGCTATAAATATGGAAACGAACAACTTTAAAATTTCATCCGATAGTTTTATTTTTAATCGGAAACTTATAAGTATGTCACAACTAAAAACCGCTAATGTATTGAAAAGTTTGGGGTTTTTTTTGACAAAAAAATAATCAAATTGATAAAAAAAAACATGTCGGCAAAAAAGTAACATAAAGAAGTGAACAAAGCTAAATCTGTTTTTGTTCAAACTGTTGGGCATAAGTGAACCACATGATAGTTTATTTCATCGAAAATCTTGCATAATATTATTTTTTTTACAAATGAGTATAGATTTTATTTAATTTGAAATGCACATTGTCAAATGTAAAAGATGGTAGTTGTGTATTTTTTGTATTTTTTGTTAAATAACTGGTACAATATGCATTGAAGTTTAACCAAAATTAACCGTTCTGCATAATTTTGACTGTCATGGTGCAATTAAACAGGCCATGTAGACCATGTGCTGTTCATTCTTGTTTGCATTCCTAATTTCTAATTGGAGTCGGTGTTGTTAATTTTTTTCATCTTTTATACTGTTAAATATTTTTGCTATCATGTTTACATTTTATCAAGGTAATTAATTGGAATTGAAGCCCAGCTTTAAACTTTAATGTCCCTAATGTGTATGTTGTTTGCTCAGTTGAAACAATTTCTTGTTTGTCAAATTCAAAAAAAAAAAACATTTGAAATTCTGGTCCGGAGTAAATTTATAAAAAAAACACATTAATTTTGGTAATATATTAAGCTTCTTTCGATTCTTTTTAATTATTATTGGGTTAATTCACAACAATAATACTATTAATGAATAATGTTTTTTGTTAGTGATTTCTGTCGTCCGAACGTAGGAGTACAGAAAATATATTTTTAAAGATTTGATAGGTACCCATATGCATGTTTTCATTTAAAAAAAATATTTCAGCTGAATGACCAAAACATGATATTTATATATTGACATCAACGTTTACAGCTATATTTGTACACTTATTTGTAGCATGTTGTTATCTCAAACAGTTGATATTCTTTTGACTCTGGAATCCTTGGACTTTTTTTAAACAAGGGAAAAAATTTAGAGCCCATAATTTTATCATCCCTTTTTATTACTTTTTGTGGAGTTTTACAACGTAATGCAGTGTCAAATTTAGTGATTTGATTTTTAATGTTTGATGTCAATTTTAAATTCTAATACTGATATCAGAAGATAGTTATTCAGAATATTTTTTGAAGTTTAAATGTTTTGTTGATATCTAAGAAATTACAAATCCAAACTATTTGTAATATTATCAACACTCAATTTTCTTTATTTTGATATTCTTATAGTGATTGCTGTTTTTTCCCCGTCATATTCAAAGGTTGTGTGTGATTTTCAACTACTAGTATTGTATAAAAATAGATGGTCAATCTTTGTCATAAACTATTTTGAAGAGTTTTGCAGACCAATTATATTCCTATATTTGACAATTTCAAAATAGCTATTTTCGTGGGACAATAAAGTGCGCTTAGCAGAGAAGCAGCAAATACCAGTTTCCAAGTATTTTGTTTGATCCCGGAGGGGATAGAACTCACGTGGAATGGCGTCAAACTCTCACGGCCTATGGACAGATAGAAAAATCAGATCACACACTTATTAGTTCCAAATGTATACTGAAATAACAAAAAATGAAAATGTAGAATATACCTGCATTTAAACGGTTTCTATGATTTATTACTAACTCAAAATTTGTTTTCTCTTTTTTGTAATGTATATAATCATCTTTGACACGGCAAGCTGTTGATAAAAGATGTTAAATTTGCAATAACCACCATCAAAAATGATCATTAAGTAACGCATATGACACTAACTATATTTGTAACAATCCCCTTATTGAATTTATTCATTTTTTAGTTATGCATGCCAAATAAAGGCAACAGTAGTATACCGCTGTTCGAAACTCATAAATCGATAGAGATAAAAACAAATCCGGGTTACAAACTAAAACTGAGGGAAACGCATCAAATATAAGAGGAGAACAACGACACAACAAAAACACAACATTAAAATGTAACACACACAGAAACGAACTTTAATATAACAATGGCCATTTTCCTGACTTGGTACAGGACATTTTAAGAAAAAAATGGTGGGTTGAACCTGGTTTTGTGGAATGCCAAACCTCCCGCTTTTATGGCAACGTCAAACACAACACCAAAACGACAACATCACGTGACAGGACCACAATAAAAATAAATGGGAGAACATATAGGACAAAGAAACACACGAATAATAGCTAGCAGAAGGTACTAGGCTTAAAATTCAATACGCCAGACGTGCGTCTCGTCCACACAAGACTAACCAGTGACGCTCAGATAAAAAAAGTTTGAAAGCCAAAATAAGTACAAAGCTGAAGAGCACCGATGACCAAAACTTCCAAAAAGTTGCGCCTAACACGGCCAGGATTTTCTGCCTGGGACAAAAACATCCTTATTATTTAGAATAATTTATAATTTTGCAAACAGTAAATTTTATAAAATGACTATATAATAGATATACATGATAAAATCAAAGTGGGGACTAACTACAGAATAAAAACGGATACATTACATGAAAATGTTGTTCCAAAAGTTATTACTATATTACTTACCAGCTTATGAAAAGTTTTTATCTTTATGATAACAAGCATTTTACTTTATTACTTTGCAATTACCAAGATGCAAACGTTACTCACATTGCAATGCAATGGACGCCTACATTATTGGAAATGAAGTCGTCAAATTGAGTTTAATTGTGTGACACCTTGACGTCTGACAATAAAGTTTTATAACGTTTTTGACATTTCTTGCCATACAGGTCAACACCCAGTGATGTTCGAAGAATAGAAAACAGCATTGTTGGTGGAATTTTGGCATATATTTTCGTTCACTGTAATGATTGCATATATATATAATAATTTTGAAAATGCCAGTGCTATTTTTAGCATCTACTTAGATTGAGTTATTTGTACAAATTATTATTTTGTATATTTTTCTAAACTAATAAATTATTCACTGTATTTTCTTTTGTTTATCATGCACAATTAACATTGTAGACTTATCACTTAAAATAGGCAACAGTCGTTTACCGGTCTCTAAATTTCATAAATCATTTAGGAAGATACAAATCAAGGTTACAAACAAAAACTGAAGGAATCGCATGACTCAAAAAAGAGCGGGACTGGATTGGACGACAGAGTAAGCGTCTCCTGCTATGCTTGCATCACTCGCTTTGCATCCACACTCAATCAAAATGTCACAATCGGTAGTAGGAGAATTTCCGATTACTGTTTATAAAATGTTAAAATTATTCGTAACACTTAGGATTTATTTACCCTTAGTTCATCCACTTAAATAGTCTCACCGACCGTGCTAGGCCTTCAAGGGTAGTCAAGGTCGTTAAACATCGTCGTTGTAGTAGCTAGCCGAAGTCACATTCAAGCATATTTATGGATTTGCTTGTTTTATTTTTCTTCAAATTCTTCATTGATTTGATCGCTTTTGATGAGACTTACGTTCATCTGATATATATACAATCATGCATGTCACTAAGTATCAAACCTTGAGAGAAACCGACGCACCGTATAAATAATCATCTTAACTATCATACTCGATATTTCCTTTCTATTTTGGTTTTCAAATAGACAGATCATGGCGAGATCATTGTTTGGCCCTTCCAATCCTTAAATAAAAATATATCATATTGCATGTAATATAGTGTTGTCAAATGGGTGTTTTCATATTAATCCTGTAGTATGTTCAAGTACAGTCTTATTGGGTCGAGGTAAACTGTATTGGCTCGAGGCGAGGACTTTATACAGGGTTATTATGAAAACACCCATTTTATGACACGTCTACTAACCAATGACTTAAAATAATCACCAAAAGCTGACTGAGGATAAACACGGCTGTAGGAAGACTCATACAGGATCAAGATGAACTATTTGGGTTAATTATCATTTTAATGCAAGGAATGTCGAATAATCCTCAGAAATAATAATGTGCGATGAATTGCCCGACCTTTTATTCACCGGTAAAAATAAAACTTTGAGCCTCTCGATTTTTACACGAGTTACCTCTCATTAAAATGACGTCACTGACGTATGTAAATTAAATAACAACGTCCAGGTAAGAACTGGTCAGTGGACTGGAGTGACGGAGAAACAAGTATATGATATCCATCTGGTGCCGAGGATAGCTTTCACAAACGGCCCTTTTCAGGGACCCCAATCCTTTTCAGAAAGAGTCTTCATTTGTTGTACATATAAGGCGTTTTAAGTCACAAAATAATTCACTGATGTAAGTGTTTAGACAAATTATTCCACTACAGTAAGACATGTACAAGAACTTCTTAAACATGTATTTCCAATGGTTCGAATGGCCCTTTGGTATAATTAAACAAATAAGACTCTTTCGAAGCGGTACATATCAAAGATTCTTTCAAATTCGGACTGCGCCCTCAGAGAAATATTTTTTTATGGTTGACAATTCAGATATTCACACTTCCTACCGTCCATAATTGTATACATTAAAAGAAAAAATAGTATAACATAATAAAAATAACAACAACACTAAAATCAAACATGATGAAATCTAATATTTCGTGTAATACACACATCCATTTTCTGTATCAGACCTGTATTAACAACCAGCTCTCAGACAGGTGAAATCGTATTAGATGGACAATTTATTATGTATTTTAAGTCATTGGTTAATAAAATATTACATAGATATTCACAGGTCAATATTTGTAAGTTAAAAACAGAATTTATATTTATGAATTTAGGCTTATATCTAGTCTTTCGACTTTTGACTTGTTTTGCAAAAATATACAGTGGGATATCCAGTGAACGAAAACAAAAGAAAATTCACTCTTCTTATGATAGAGTCGAGAAAGTCAATAATAAAACAATGCCGGTGACGATACTGATTAAAAGTTATTTCCAAATACTAATTGTTCATTTTAAATAAGTTAATTGTTAAACTGTATTATTAGAAATATACATGCAAATACACGATGTTTTATGTTCAGTATTTTTCGAGATAATTGCATTAGAAGCTTGAGAAACTTAAATTTAAAAACTGCCAATCTTTACTGCATATTGATAAAAAAAAATTGGAAAAAATCATGTACAAACAAAATCTAAAGATCTTTCGGGTCACCAATTTTCCGAGTGTTCCACAAAGTACTTAGCATGTTACAAGTTCCCAAAGTATACTTATTTTTTCACACCTAAGTTATCGAGCACACCGGTCTGCTCTTGTCACATGTACATTAAATAGAGAAATATTGTCTTTTTTGTGAATATGAAAATTTAAAAGTCTGTCTGTGCAAGTTGAGGAATCAAAAATAACTATTTTTATAAAGTAGGTATCTTTCTACTATTTTTTATACAATTTTAAGAAAAGGTCGTCTCGATTTTTGTACATATATTTGCGGTATCCTCGATCTTTTCACATTCAATCATCGAGATAAGGTCCGTTTGAATTTGCTTAGTAACTTAATTTCAAAAGTTCCAATCTTTGCTGCATATCAATCGATTCTTTTGGAATGTTTTCCCTGACTTTCTCCGATCTAGCTGTATACATATTCGGATAATTAGCATGTTTCAGAAAAGTATACAGCCAGTAGAAAAATAAATTGAAGTTGGTACTCCAGGAATTTATTCGCATAGCAACATTTTAAACCAATTTTACATCAAGCTTCTTTAGCCTGCTGTACTAGTCGTTTGCGACTTAAGTAGGGGGAATAATAACATTGAATGGAAGTTTTGTTTTTATTTCAACTTATTTCTTTTTTTACTATTTACCAGAACGTTTTCCAGTGAATCCATAATTGATAGCGTCCTTGCTAAAATGGAACAAACATTGAGAAGATCTAGTTTTCAATATTTATAGGGGAGGTAATATTTTGTCACTAGATTTCCCACTGTATAAGCTGTAAAAATATGAAAATAATTCTTTATAACTCTGTTGCATCCGAAGCGCTTTTCTTGATTTGCCTTCTTCGGGTACGCTCATAAACAAACAAATTGAAAGCTAAAAATGTTTAACAACCTTAACACGTGAAGACCTATATAATCAAAAGGGGGCGAAAACAATAAGCAAATTCATTTAAGATCAACTTTTGTTTAACATTTTATAAATTCTGTAGTTAGTCACCACTTCGGTGTTATCATGTTTATCTATCATATAGTCATTTTTATAAATTTACTGTTTGCAAAAGTATGAATTATTCTAAATACTAAGGATTTTCTTATCCCAGACATAACCTTAGCCATATATGGCACAATTTTTTGTAACTTTTGGTCCTCTATGCTTTTTAACTTTGTACTAGTTTTGGCTTTCGTACTTTTTTTATCTGAGCGTCACTGGTTAGTATTGTGTGGACGAAACGCGCGTCTAGCGTATTAAATTTTAAACCTGGTACCTTTTGTTAGCTATTATTCGTATGTTTCTCTGTCCTATATGTTCTCTCATTTATTTGTATTGTAGTCCTATCATGTAATGTTGTCATTTTAATGTTATATTTAACATTGCCATAAAAGCGGGAGGTTTGGCTAGCCACAAAACCAGGTTCAACCCACCATTTTGTTCTTAAAATGTCCTGTACCAAGTCAGGAAAATAGCCATTGTTATATTATAGTTCGTTTCTGTGTGTGTTACATTTTAATGTTGTGTTTCTGTTGTGTCGTAGTTCTCCTGTGTTTCCCTCAGTTTTAGTTTGTAACCCGGATTTGTTTTTTTCTCAATTGATTTATGAATTTCGAATAGCGGTATACTACTGTTGCCTTTATTTACGCAAGGATGTTGATGTGAGTTTGATATCTGCTTCGGTAAAGACTGCTCATATTTAATTTTCCTACAGCTGTGTGTAAAATTCTTTGAATGTCAAATATTTTAATAAAGACAAGTATGAGATTTATCTGACGCACGATGGCCTGTTTTAGGCATAAGCCAGATTTGGCGCTACGTATTGAAATTTTTGTTTTTCGTTGCCCTTTAACTTCTTGATTTATTTGGCATTCCAACTGTTTTGATTGAAGAGTCTTGTATAGTCGAAATGTACGTCTAGGGTACAAAGTTATACGCCTAGTATCTTTTATGAGTTTTGGGAACTAGTTGGGATGGGGTGTAAAATGTCAGAGCGCTGTCTATATACAAACATGTCGATTTAACTTTAGGGCAGATTTTTTTCTCGAAATCGTAGTGGATATATTGTAAAGAGAAAAACTATATAGCTCTCGTTTATTCATTGATTTCTATCTTTCTGTTGTAATTATATTTTTTATACATTAATACCTTCAACCTTCTGTAATTCAAACGAAAGCTTTATTCCCTTCAGTCATCCTTCCTGTTACGACCTCACGTTATTTCCTCATTCATAGAACAAGGAATTATGGGAGCTGATTTTATACAAAACAGTTAGTTCGTACAACGCGTTCATATAACACGGATGATAAGGCAAAACCTGTAAATATATATGTCGTTCTCTATGGTCATATGCATTAATTTATTCCCATAATCATGACACCAGATATGTTCAAGTTGTCTTCAATCACGTCCTCTTTTCTTTTATTGTGGCATCGTTGGATTTGTACGTACTACGAACAACACGACGGGAGCTAGGATCTGCGAATCCTTCCAAACACGCCTATTTTTATCGTAGGGTTCCTAGTTTTCGATGTTGTTTTCTATAGTCTGTTGGTTGTCGGTTTTTGCCATGATGGTGTCGGTTTCTCTTCTACTTTTGATTACCCCTTTGTTCTCTCCCGCCTCTTTTTTACATGTGCATGGAACGAAATAACTCAGTCATATGACAACTTGTTCAAAGCGAAAGACCACATAGATCAGAAAATATTGAGTTGAAAATGAAGCATTCCTTTGTACTACAGTGATAAGTCGTTTAAAAAAAGAATTAATATGCGTGTAGACAAATCAAAATAATGCATGGTCTTACTGCCGGAAAATTATTCTTTGTCAGGGTCACCAGTTTTCATGTTTTATATACGGAATTGTGTTCTTACGTCTAATTACACCTAACAGTCCCTAAAACAGGCCGTCCGACGTTAACGCAAGCTCTAGCCAACTTAACTCAACGGGTTGATAGGGGTATATCATATATGAATATGGTCATCCCTGGACTTTGGCGGTTCCGACAGAAAAACTTATGCTAATGTTTGGCGTCTTTTTTGGCTGTGCAGGATGTATAAATATGCAGCCTCGTTAAGTCGAAATTGGGACATTTAATCCTATACCTCGTGTAGGAAGAGGACCATGCTCGCTGCACATTGAATAATCATTGAATCAACTCTCCCAGGGGTCAGTTTTTTGTCAATTGAAAGGGACAATTTCTGCCCCTATCAGCATACTATGGTTTCCCGTGGCAAACCAAATTTCACGCCCTTTATCCTGGTCTCTCTACCTTGCAAAACCTTAATCTTGTATTAACTATTAGTTAGTTTGGTGCTAAATATACATCATATTGGACATTGACGTTAAGAAAAGTAACATTCATCAATCTATCTGACTAAATTGACGTGTTATGACATCTCAGAGACATCAAAATGACTTCATCAGCGAAAGGGTCCTGGTTATGTTGTTATATTCACTTATAAAAATAAAATCATCTTATTCTAAAATTTAGGAGAACAGGATTTTACTTTTTGAAATTTCAGTAGCGAAGCAGAAAATACTTACCATTCCGCGGCACTTTATGTAATGATCAAGTTTTATATGGGTCCATGTCTTAATCTCAATATTATGCTTCTATATAGTATTTTGTAACTGTCTGGTAAAATCGTGGCTCGTGTAATACTTCCTATTTTGACACTAAGCGTTAGGGAACGACCGTTTGATATTTGGGGAGGGGGGGGGGGGGGGGGGGGCAGGAGGATTTTTGCCGGATTGATCATATAGTTTCATCTGTTGCTACGCATAAAGTTGAGAATGGAAATGGGGAATGTGTCGAAGAGACAACAACCAGACCAAAGAGCAGAAAACAGCCCAAGGTCACAATGGGTCTTCAACACAGCGAGAAAATCCCGCACCCGGAGGAGGGTTTCAGCTGGCCCCTAAAAAAAATAAAAAAACATACAAGACCAACAAAGGCCAGAGGCTCCTGACTTGGGACTGGCGCAAAAATTGTGGCGGGGTTAAACATGTTTTGTGAGATCTCAACCCTCCCCCTATACCTCTAGCCAATGTAGAATAAACAAACACACAGCAATACGCACAGTAAAACTCAGTTTAAAAGAAGTCTGAGTCCGATGTCAAAATAAGTAACAGAAGAAACTAAGCAAAATGACAATGATACATAAATTAACAAAGGACTACTAGCAGTTACTGACATGCCAGCTCCAGACCTCAATTTAACTGATTGAAAGATTATTTCTTCATCATATGAAAATCAAGCATGTTTATTCATTTTAGCCGCGAAAATTTATTTTTACTTGTGTACACATTTATATCCTCAACTATCCTGCATTTTATGTAACAGAATATTTGTTTTCATCTTGTCTTGTGCAAATTCATTTGTTTTCAGTTTTTACCAGGCCAAGTTATTCATTTTTAAAATCCTCCTTCCACCCCCACGCCAAGCAAAATAAAATTGTTGTCCCCTTACCTGTAACAACAACCGCTAACAAGAAGACACAACAAAATGTGGTCAATCCAGAAGGCTAGAAAAGTCACGTTTAATTGGTAAAAACTAAATAGTGATCGTTGTATTTGTTGTTTTGAAAGTGAAGGCAAACATTGCATATAAGGGTCGGTCTGAATAAAATTTGAACACAAGTGTCACAGCAGTTCCGAGATAACTTACATCACTAACCGTTTTATCCTGTAGAATAAATAATTAAAACCTTGTAGAAAGAGGAAAACATATTTTCATCGAAGTATTTTTTTTTTAAATTTGGTATTAGCTACGTTTATCTTTAGTATAAACTACGATTATTTTTAGTATTAAGTTTATCTCCTTGTCACATCTATTCTTGGAAAAATCACGATAGAAAGATCGAGTGCAGGTATGAAAAACTAAATTTTAATGAACATATTTGTGTTTTAAACATACAAAGGGAGACTGTTATATCAATGTGTCGGATATGCTTAAAAAATCATATTTAAACATCGATCAAGGATTTCCAAATTGATAGGACGTTAGCGACCCTGGTAGTTCATTCATTATATAGTTAAATAAAGGTAAAATATTTAGAATCTAACAGGTTTGAATGGTCATTCTTTGATCAAATTTATTGTGTATTAGAACATTTATATATTAGGAATATATAATATAGGAATATGTATATATCGAAATATGTAGATCGAATTAATTGAACGTTGAACATTGTAAATTGATATAACCTATTTTTAGTTTACGTTTTATTTCCTGGTCATGTCTCTTTCTCGGAATTTGTGTTTTTAGTACTTCTCGGAAAAAGGTAACAACAGATTTCTACATTTATCTTAAACAATTAATTAATTTATTTTCGAAGAACTTTCTTCAAATTTAAAAGAGTTGGTTCCCTTGCTGTGAAAAACATTGTGTCAAATTCAAAACAAAAACCTTTTTAGTTTAGTTTTAACATATATGTCATTTGCAAAAGTAGCAAAGAGGATAATCATTTTCCTTTTAATATAGCAAACAATGAGATATATGAATATGACTGTTTCCAAAATTTTTTGTCAATGTGCAACGAAAATCAATTTTTTTTAGTAATAGTTTCCATGTTACAATCTTTTTTTCATCTTAATTGCTAAAGTTGGTTTTGCGAGGGTTCCTTCTCAAGGAAATCAACTCTTACAAGCTGGCAATTCTGCTGGTCAACTATAAATGACCCCGACATGAAAAAAATGTGAAGCAATTTAAACGAAAAAACAAATGGCCTGATTTATGACAATCTGATTAAAATACAGAGCTTGTGTGTCCATGCTTTGCTTACAAGGATCTGAAAACGCTCCATTCTATTTTCTGTTTTAAAGACCATTTGGAATTATCTGATTTTGTCGGATTGATACTCGCCTTCAAAAATTTAAAGGCTGAAATTTCATTGGCTGATGTAAAAATTACCAGAACAGAAAGTAAAATGGAGTGGTGTGAGATCCTTGTAACAAAAGCTTAAACACAGGATCTGTATCTTAATCAGATTGGATTTATGACAAAAACAATAAACAACAAACAGATATAAAAGATAGCTACCAACTTCAATCTTTGAACTACAGCCTCCTGACTTGGGACCGGCACATACAAACTTTTGCAGAGTTTAACATGTTTGTGAGCGCTCAACTCTTCCTTTACATGGGTCCATTGGGACAATAGTGTAACAGAACAATATAAGAAAAAATTATAAAAAAGTATTTGGAAATGGGTTGACTTATCAGATCGGCAAAAGAAACAAAGTACGGACCAAAGTGTACTTGCAGTTACTTTTAATACCTTTTTAATTCCTTTTTGAATTTTCCTCGGAGTTCAGTATTTTTGAGATTTTACTTTTTACTGAAAGCCAGTTCTAATCCAATACCAACTAATAAATAAATCATGTTCTCCAAGACTAAATTATTCTGTTATACATTTTTCTTAAACTAATTAGCATTATTATTGGATAATATGAGCTTGAGCGAGCAGCTGATAAATTGATATAATCAATTCACTGGCCTGGGGTATTGCTGTCTGTTCTACATGTTGCTGTTATTATTTTACTTTTATATATAGCTTGTTAGTGGTATTCGGTTATCTGTCGAGTGTGTGCCAACTGTAGTTTGTCCAACAGAAGGAAAATATGACATCAAGGTAAATCTATAGTTTGTAGTATCTCGTTTCCATTGCTACGAGTTTCGTGATCCCTGAAAAATGAATTTTCTTTAAAAGGAGAAGGTATTACTAGACCACTTCTTTTGTGCAAAAATTTCGAAAATCAAAATTACATTAGTCTGTTGGACATCATTATTTGTGTTTATGAATTTAGTCTTGCATATTGTCATGGAGTCTTCAAACTTCTTACATTTAGTGCAAAAACTGCCAAAATAGACTCATTTTGTGATCTTGTCATTAATATTTAGATATGAGCAAGAGCTGAACCCAAAAAGATATTTTTCAACAAAATGTATTTAATAAAGATGTTAATGTGAATTAAATATCTTTAATGTAAAGCTCTGGTTCAAGTGAGAGGTTTAGCTAGCTATAAAACCGGGTTTAATCCATCATTTTCTACATAAGAAAATGTCTGTACCAAATCAGGAATATGACAGTTGTTATTCATTCGTTTGATGTGTTTGAGCTTTTGATTTTGCCATTAGATGAGGTAGTTTCCGACTTGAATTTTCCTTAGAGTTCAGCATTTTTGTTACTTTACTTTTTTGATGTATATTTATTTATATATTGAACTGATATATATGCTTGAAATGGTCATTTTTGGTCGCATATGTGAAATTCGACATGTTTATGACGTCATAGTGACACTAAAAGTGACCTTTCTGCACTTAATATCGAGATTAAAAAGAAATTGGTTGATTTATTTATAAAATTCACATAATTTTGAAAGGCCGGACTAAAGTTAACTATTCTTGCAATTTTAGTATCCCAAAAACTAATTTTATCATACCTCCTCCTTTTCATGTGTCGAAATAACGAAAACAGTTCACTTAACTGTCTTAAAAAAGTTAAAGTTGTATATCATAAATTGTCTCTTATAGATTTCAAACATGTCTAAGTGTTCATTGTGTGGATTTGTTTACTTCTCGAGACAAAGACGTGTACCAACAGATATGTGGAGTCAGAACAAGTGCAGCAATGCGTCATCTTTCGAATCATATGCAATATCGAAACTTAAATACAGCCACAAACCTCACGTTTACTTTTAATTAAAAAAAATACAGAGTTAGATATTTGGAACACGGGGTAATTGATACGGAATTACTTATAAGATCATTTTTAGATACTGTCAGTGACATTATTAGTTAAAACACGTGAGGTTTCACTGCTCTCCAAAGCCGAAAGATAAACGTTACGCAAAATTATTAATTGAACAGTCCATGAAGTAATATTAAACTTGTAGGTAAAGGAGGTTCATTTTCTATCAATTTCCAAAACAATTTTTTAAAGTCTATCGATTTTCACTGAAAATTACAATAACATACTTTCATGTAATTTCTTTGAGGTTCTAACAATATTTTGGTTTATTTCTAAACAGATAGCAAATTTATATAGATCATATAGCTCACTGAAAACCGCTATTTTGACATATTATGGCACACTTTGATTGAGTGTCTATCAAAACATATGCAAGAACTTTCTAATCCAAAACGAAATTTGTGTTGGAAGTAAAGCTAAATAAAGTATTTTGGTTAAAAAAATCGCTTGGTTAGAGACTTACGTCGATATAAAAGTTTTCATAAACGTGAAATATGTGTAATTTTTTATCAAAACGCCTTCAACGGAAATTTGTAACATTGAATTATGAAAATTGTAAAACTGTTAAAATTTCTTGAATTCAAATTGACTAGACTCTTTGATATTCAATTCCCATTAGGATTTGATAACATATAGATTTCAGCCCTGCGAGTGAGGCAAATGCAGGGAAAATTGACACTTTTTCTTAATTTTGAAAGTAAAACTTTAAACAATTCATGAAGTGTAAAATATTTCTGTCAATAGTCGACATCATCCTCTATATTTATCGACACAAAAGGTAATACGACTATTTGTCGCTTTGTATCTTACATCTGAATTTGATAGGACCATCTTTGAATATTTATACTTTTTTTTAAGAAATAAAATCCTCTTTGGTCAAAATTGTCTTCGTTTACATATGGTGTATATATCACAAAGTCATACAGTCTTAATCTTACTAGTTTCTGATAACAAGCCGTGTTATATATACGGTATGGGTTTTTCTCATTGTTGAAGGCCGTACGGTTGCCTATAACTGCTTACATCCACTTTATTTGAACTTTGGTGGATAGTTGTCTCATTAGCAATCATACACCACATCTCCTTATTTTTATATTTTCAAACATTACAGTTCGTTTTATCTCACCTTCACAAAACATTTTCATTTGCGAGTTAGATCGTACTCTAGAGAGACAGGGGTATATATGTATTTACCATTTTACCATTTTTTTGTATGCATTTAGTCACACACAACTTAGAACAAAAACAAATTCAATTCATACACTACCAAGAATTTACCCACGTTTGTTTGGTACATTTCTACCCTCGTATATATCAGTACTGTTCGGCAAGACTAAAAACTTGTAATGTTATACTTTCTATTAATTCAGTACTGTTTATTATTATACAAAAACTGTACAATTACTAATTCTATAAATTCAGTACTGATTTTTTCAGTACTGTTTCAATACTGATTTCGTCAGTACTGTTTCAGTACTGATTTTGTCAGTATTGTTTCAGTACTGATTTTGTTAGTATTGTTTCAGTACTGATTTTGTCAGTACTGTTTTAGTACTGATTTCGTCAGTAATGTTTCAGTACTGATTTCCTCAGTACTGTTTCATTATAATACTGATTAAGTCAGTACTGTATCTGTACAAAATATTTAATTACTGTTTTAAGTATATACTAACTTTTTTTTCAGTGCATAGATTAATAGATCACTGTGTTCATTTAAAAAAGATGTCCTTTTTTAAGTATGTAGCTGTGCACTTTAGTTTACTCATCTTACAATTGGTTACAATGTTTACATACAGTGATGCCAATTTGAAAATAAAAGGAACTGAAAAAAGAGTCAACTAGGTAATTATGTATTGATAGCAAAATTAAGGTATTGGTGGTCTTATGTTGTTTTGCACATTTGGGTTAGGTTAATTGTTCATTTTGACACTTACCCTGTTTCCATTCCTTTTTCTATATTGTGACATGTTGATGATTTCGTTATGTATTTTTATTTCTCTGATTTTTTTGTTCTGATTTGGTTTTGCTTAAGGTGCAGCTCTTCAACAGTTATTTTAGCTTCTTTTTTTTTAATATTTTGGTATTGTCAAATTTGCATCTCATTCTGGTGCGGTCAATTGATATGGTTTATGTTTTTAGTAACATCTCATTAATATAGGTTTAATATTTGACAATACCATATTACATGTATCAGTGTCTTGCTTGGGTCAAATCAAAACATATTTAACAAAACTTGAACATTAGAACTGAGTATATTACTTTTGAGAAGATGGATGGATGGATGGATGCTATGTCATCCAGTGGCAAGTTAAGTACATAATCAGAACGAGGACATGATACTCAGATATAAATAATTACCCTATTTTTTACTAGACTAATAATGCACTGAGCTGAATTTTTAACATGATAGTTCACCACAAGGACAGAATCTGCTAGAAGACATGTCATCCTACCTGGACAGGTTCCGTCAGACTGAACAGTATGTTTTTTTCTCCTTAAGCTGTGTGCTGAAGGAATATTTAGAATACAACCACTTTTCCAGTCCTAATTCTCATAAATACATTTCTATTTAATATGCCCATTGTAAGATTTTTAATGACAAAATCAGTACTAAAACAATACTGATGAAATCAGTATTTAAACAGTACTGGAAAAATCAGTACTGAATTTATAGAATTAGTAATTGTACAGTTTTTGTATAATAATAAACAGTACTGAATTAATAGAAAGTATAACATTACAAGTTTTCAGTCTTGCTGAACAGTACTGATATATACGAGGGTAGAAATGTACCAAAAAAAACGTGGGTAAATTCTTGGTAGTGTACGACTTGCTCAGATTGATCAAGTAGTCGTCTATTAAAAATGTAGAACCCCTACAGCCATCACAAGATTGACTTGCTCCAAGATGAGTTTCCGATTCAAATCAAATACATGAAAGAAAAATAGAAAATTGTATTAATAGATACAAAGGGACTTAAATTAATGTGACAAACATTTTGCAATATTCTTTGTACTAAATTTAGTGACAAGCTGATGGAAAATTATGCCAATGTAATAATGAGCACTTAAAGACATTTTGAAAAAAAGATTTTAGGAAAGAGGCATTAATTGTGATATAAAATAATCCTTTATGTTGTTTTTTCATGGTAGCTCAACACCAGGTTCAATATCTGGACGTGAGTTAGACGCGGAAAGATATGTTATTCGTTCCGGGTTGGCGGTAGTGATCAATAACTCAGAATTTGTTAGAAACTTAAACTTACCTGACCGTCCTTGCAGCCTAGAAAACGAAGCAGAACCTCTAGAAGAGATATTCAAGGACCTTGGTTTTAAGACTTCAATTTTAACTGATGTTACAAAGGAGGATATGGAGAACAAATTTGATGAAAGTAAGATTTTTTAAAAGAGGAATATGAAGAAAAGCTAAAATTCCCTGTAACAGCTTGGTTGGTCTTTGTGTTCCATCCATCAATAAACTCTCTTAAGCATCAGCCTACATTACCAAGAATAAACATGGAGGGCACCTATCAAAAATTGTTAGGACAATAAAAATACTGTTAAAATTATTAGTCTTATATATAACCTCAAGTTCTATTTCAATTTCATATATTTAAAAGATTTCTATGTAACATATTCCGGTAAAAGAGATCAATTATGATAAAGCAACTGTAGGTAAAGTGTACAACTATCCGATTAGATAAAGTTAAGAAATATCCCACTACGTAAAGTGTACACATGTCTGATAAGGTAAATAGTATACATATCTAATAGGTCATGTGTACAAATATCTGATTTGGTACAGTGTACAAATGTCTGATTAAGTTAAGTTAACAAATATATGATTAGGTAACGTGTACAAATGTTTGGTTAGTTACGGTGTACATATATCTGATTCGGTAAAGCTAACAAATTTCTGATTAGGTAAAGTTAACATATAAATGATCATACTAGTAGCAAGATTTCAGTCTGAAACGGTCATTTTGGTCTGATCAAGTCTGAATCGACTGAATTTACCGCTAGGGAAAAACGTTAAGACTTTTTAAGACTTTCAGACGCTGTTCCGATATGTCGTGTTCAGTCCGTTCATTCATGTCAAGATAAACAAGACAGAAGGCTCTAGCTGTTAAACAAGATATGTTAAGACGGTTTTAGACGAATTCAGACCAAACATAAAAAGTAATGTTTAAAATTTTCAGATCAGGTTAAGATCCGTTTAGTTTGTCTGAATGATATTAGGAGTTACGCCCCTTCATGTGGTTGATACATTTTAATTACAAAAAATTTACAATATAAATGCTAGAATGAAAAACGTATATTTTTAATAATTAAACATAAAACCATTGGTTGACTTTTTATTTCTGTTGGTCTTTCTTTAAGAGATAAGTGATTTTGTTTTGTTGAGGAAATAAATTATTCGTCTATAACTGTTTATGATTTTATTTTATTTTTTTATTTTCTGATGTTAATTTATGTATTTGTCTACTTATTCTTTGAAAAGAAGTAATTGCGAATTTTAAACATAGCATTAACAAAAGAGTGAAAACACCTTATAAATTGCATGCGTCTGAAGCACGTTTCTGAATTTAACTTCATCGGGAACGATCAACGTAAATACAAATATGTTTTACGTCAGATAATTTATATCGTTAATTTCGTTATCTTTCGATACTTTCCTCTAAAACTTAATAATTACTTCGTGGCATTTAGTAATCATTCCCCTTGCGAGTTATTCTTTTTATATTTGGACAACCGTCTTTTTTTTTTGGTTTTATTTCGTAGTGATGCGTAGTCACCAAGACCGCATCAGGGAACCATGTCTCCGAGTGCACTAATATTCTGAAAACTGCATTTAGACCGTGACGAGACAATAAAACTATAAATAACATACCCTCGGAAAGAAGAAGATGTTGATGGGGGGTTTACAGAATAGAGAATGATTGGCAATAAATATAAAGAATAGAGAAAATGGATAAAAAAAAATAAAGAATATAGAGAATAATAAGGTGCTTGAATATAAAGAATTGATAATAATAGACAAAAAGTTTAAAGAATAGAGAAAATCGGCATAAAAAATTAAAGAATACAGAAATAATAGAGTATGTATCCTTGTAAATACGTTAATCCTTTCTTTCATTTTAATAACAATTTTATTTAATATAAAATAATTATGTATTTATTTGTTTATTCAAGTTGCACTATAACAAATAATTCTTCTTCGTCTTCTTCTTCCTCTAATAGTAATAAATGTATTCGTTATTTAATATTTTCTGTCAATAAATATTGAGTTCGATGGCACGTGCCAATAATCAAAAGGTAATACAATCAATGATCCTAAAACTATTAAAAACTTGGCAAATACAATGGCTATTTCACAATTACATCATATGTACACCTGTCATGGTATCATAGCTCCGTTCATGTATGTGTAGTTTAAGGTTTTAACACATTTTATAATAGCTTCTTTCTAAACACTATTGACGACATTGTTAAAACTGCACGAACATATCACAAAACCGCAAATTTAGTGGATAAAAAAAATATAAGATAATGACCAAAAAAAATTAAAAACTAAAGACAAAACAAAATTCTGTAGGAAGTAGCATATATTTACATGTATAAATTGTCTAGTACTTTTATTACAGCGGTATACTTGTTTTATACACAGACCATATTCTGATCATATTCTATGCTAAGATATTGACTAGACAGAAATAAATATGTTTAAAGTCGGTTTAAATCAATTCATTTCACAGCTGAGGCAAATGTTCCTTCCCATTGTTGAATGGAGGTTAAATAAATGTGAACAATAAAAAAGATGTATATGTCTTGGGCATGGAGCTAGTCATTTCTGAAGTATCTTTGATAGCATGTTTTTTTTTTCTATCAAAAATGTATGTTGGTATATTTGTAACTTTAGGTGTTTACCTAAAATGTATTGTATATGTAAAAGTTTTAGATTTTTTTTAATATTTGCCAAAAAAACATTATCCGGAAAACCATATAATGGCGTTTTGTCCTTTAATTCTTTTTTTGTGACTTTCTAACCTACCTTCTAATTGATACGTTAATCAAAACAGTGCAAGTGTGTAATGCAAACATACAAAATTCGGCTTTGGTGTATCATGTTAAAAAAATACCCATAAGTTATGATAATTTTCAATAATTTTAGATAAGATTATGCAAGGACATGTGCTTTTGTTTTCTATTTATCTAGCAATATTGTATCTTTTTTTACACAAAGATGTCGATAAATAAATTGGAAACCCTGCATTTATCATGCATTTCAATAGCATATTGTCAAATTGTTAAAAGATCTCCTCCTTAACAGGGAATCCGTTAGTATTGAAAGTCCCTGTCCTAAATTATTGAATTTGTCATTCTGCATTGACAATATTCAATTTATCTTGGTGTAAGTGATACGCACTCATTCGGGCTAACGCCCTTAGTGTGTATCTAATACATATTATTTTCTCCCTCGTTTCACCCCTCCGATAATAAAGTTTTTCCTTAACTAGATATCATAGAAAAAACCAAACACAGTATAGGGTTGTGCGTTCGCTACAAGATAGCCTTGAATTTAACATGTTCAACATAAATATATACAATCAGCCATACAAAAAGGCATAATTTTTTACCATACACAAGTCGAAAAGAAACGATAATGTTACATACATAAGATGGGTAAATGGGGTGGGAGGGGAATAGTATACCAAATTAACCTAGTCCTTACTATCTTGTAACGAACGTCGCATTGTCAAACACACCTTAAATTTTCCTTATATACTGACTGCCGAAATCGCCCGTGCAGAAAGGAATTCAATGGGTTTTACCCTATCTCATTTAAATATAGAAAGACCGTTATATATAAAACATAGGACCGTAAAGAAATGTAAATATTGTATTTCATATGACTATAATATACGTCCTTGGATGATATAACTTACCAGATAGGTTGTTACCTTCGTTTCCGGTACACTAACACTAATAAGCTTTGATTTCTTGTTTATCATAAGTTTCAAAATTTGTGTCAACTAATTCTGCCTCTTTAAAGGTCAAATGAAAGTAAGTCCTTTTCACTCTACTATGGAATGAAATGAACGAGAGAACTTTTGACGTGGTATAGTTATAATATAACTGTTCTTTATGCTTATACTTATAGTTTGTACTGCAAGCCGCAAAATCCACTTTGCACTCTGGATGTCTTTTGGTTTTTGTTTATTGTTTTGTGGTTTGTTTGCTTTATTATTGACGTAAATAAGACCGACAACTCCTTTTATTCATATATATATAATTTGAGTTCTGTAAATTTCTAGACGTACGTAAGAATGAAAGACGAAAATGCAGGTTTCATAAATGGTCATCAAAGAGCGACACAATTAAAAACAAATAAAAATATAGTTATTACAGCTACAGTCATTTTTTTTTCTCTATTAAAACATACTTGATACTTTTTGCGCTATTGTCATATAATATCGAAAATTCAAAAAAATCTAACATTTCCATAAGCTTTCTGTGATTTCCCCGATTCACCATTATGATGTCATGCCACTTGCTATATGGATTCAGAAAACAAATTTGAGAAATCTATGACCACACAATTGTAACTGTTCCTATCTTTATTAACAAAATTTAGCGTAAATATTTACAACTATAAAAATGAGTAACAGTGGTGGTCTATTCTGCCCGGAAAACAATGCGGACTAAATATGTGTACAGTGCACGTGGCGGATCCAGTCATTTTAAATGGGGGTTCCCAACCAAGGATAAAGGGAGGGGATCCAACCGTATGTCCTAATTAACAAAAGGGGGGTCCAAAATCCGCCCCCCCCCCCCCCCCCCCCAATCTACCACTGTGTGTACCACTAACATTAAGTTTTACAAATATGCAAATCGATACTTGTTCTGTTAGGACAGTTTTCAATTTTATATAATAGAAGTAGGTGAATTATACAGCAGACATATTGGTTTTCTTGGTTTAGATAGAGGAATTCTCTACCCCCGATCAAGAATCTCATTAAATTGTACGGATGTGCATACGTATTAGTCTAAAATATAATCTTTAAACTTATCAAATTTGAATCTCGTGATTTTTGTAAAAAGGCGGAATTAAATTTCCAAAGTGATATTCAAACTTATTATTCAAAGACAAACTGACAACGCCATGGCAAAATAAAAAAAAGTCAAAATGACAAACTGTACATATATGCTAACTTAGAATATATAGTTAACACACTTCATGACTTCATAACCATAGAAAGACAACGAAAGATCATATCATAAACAAAATTGTATTGAAAGGTCAATGATGAGAAAATTTTAACATTTGTAATACCTAGTACTTCATAATCTTTTTCTGAAAAGTTTTCTCGTCCTGAATATGCATGAAATG